AGAGAAAGGACTTTCCCTTCGATTAGCATTTGACGATGCGTCGAGAGCCTCCGCCAGGCATTTCGGCCGATCTTTCTTTATTTTTTTTTTTTTTCTACTTAATGTACATCCATGACCGGGTTAGTCACGACGATATCGGGCTGTGAGACTGAATCACACACATCAGACACGAAATTAATATACACATACACATATGCTTGCACGTACAAGTAGAACGATCACCAAAACGCGCGGTTAAGAATGGCAGGCTGTCGTAAAAGAAAACATATTTCGGAATGCGCTCACATAAGATAAAACTCGTCGAAATACGAAAGAAAAAGAGCGGATGGGAGAGAGAGAAAGGGAGAGAGTGAAAGAGAGCAAGAGAAACAGAAGGAAGAAAGATAGAGGGGAGTATAAAAGAATGAAATCTCAGAGAAACACTCACACACAGTGCTTAGTAGTAGGTGGTTATACATACTCGTTTTATGTATAAGTTTTAGAGTATTAGCGTCGTGTGGATGAGAATAGGAGAGAAATAGACAGGGAATATGGTGAGGGTACGAAGTGCAAAAGAAAGGAAATATTGCAGGAGGGGAGGGGAATAAAAGGGTAAAATTGATTTTGTGGATTTAAGAATGTAAAACGCGCCAGGGGCCGGTGTGATTAATTGAGAAAAGGCGAAAATAGTAAACCAAGTATTGTGGGGCAGGGCTCGCACTCACGTGTTCGTACGATCGCACGGAGCAGATTTCAGTGTGCGGACACGATGTGTACCTTAATGTAACCCCGTAAGTTTAATTAGGATGTTACCGTTTGAGTATCGACGTATGGACACAATGGACGTATTTATTCTCGGGCGAGGTGGCTCCCCGGAGGATCGCGAGCGATTTATTCTCGGGGCTCGGTATAGGGTAGAAAGAGAGAGAGAAAGGGAGAGAGCACGGCCTGTGAGAGATCGCGAAGCGATCTAACTGCGTAACTATAATAACCACTTCGTACTAGTCAGAACTCAGGTGGTCTCCATTGCCACGCATACGTGTCGATGATACGCGCGTATATAGTGTGTCTCTTTCGTTTTCTTTTTTTTTCTTTTTTTTATATGAGACGTATTTATTAGGTAGTAAAAATATGCTTTCGCAGGATCGGATTCTCTGACTCTCGATAATTATCCGCGAGAATGCACCGTCCGAGAGGACATTTTACAAGATGTTACATAGTTTCATGATCGTCGATTCTTTTATAGTTCCCTTCGAAGAGATTTCGTAAATATTGGGAATGAATAACGATAAAGGAAAAACGGGTTTCTTGTTTGATTAAAAAAAAATTAAAAATGCTTTAATCTTTACATATATGTATAAATATGTGTACAACTTTTACACTTTACAATACGTGAGACGTTAGATAATAATTCAGAGCGTATGATCGCTCGAGTGTTTAATTACGTTTTTTGTCGTCGATTAGCATTGCACGTTTTGTCGCTCCTGGGAAAGAAATTCACGAATTGTATCGAAAATTGCATAAGTACAACGAGAGAAAACGATGATATTGTTCTAAGAAATAGAAGAAAGGGATATTGCAACATCTGTTATTTTATCTTTGTATCATGGAATATTGATATTGTTCTCGTTTGAAAATATTAATATTAATATTACAAAAAAAATTATTGGACCTCTCTAGAACTTTTGAAATTCTTAAAGAGAAAACTCCCGTTCCTGCATGTACTTCGAGGACGGTGCATGCGACCGGTATGTGATACGGATTAATGACAAGATTGCAATGATTGACGTTCGATCTCAGGTCAGATTAAGGAATCACGCATCTAGTCTATGTGCAAGTGCCGCAGCATCGTCAGCGCAGTTTCGCGTTTAAAGAAAGATAAAAAACAGATAACGACAGTAAACACCGGGAAGTTGGAAGCGGACGCAACGACGAGCGCGGCTAATGATAAGTGAAATGGCGCGAAGCAGGCGAGCCGGATCCTCACGCTCGTTCGTGCGATTATCGTTGCCATCCTTTCGAATGACAATGAATCGATTCGGTTTATTGACAGTAATTGTATCATAGTCAAAATCCTGAAGCGATTGCTCCGCAGCTGTGAGCATTTTTTTAGTGGAATCGTTATTCCAAGGAGACTTTATGCGACCTCAGCTCAAGGAATGATTCTCCGCAATTGTAAGTAGTTCAGAAATCGCTTTTCGAAGATTCTTTCCGATTGTGCGTAGAGATTACGTTACCAAAGTGATTTTTCATACCCGCTTCCGTTACTTCTCCCGAGTGATCTTTCACAAATGCAGAGATATGCAGAGTCTTTGATTCGGCGATCGCGAACGACTTCTGAACAGAAAACGAGATCTATAATAGATCTCCGGATTGCGCGAGGCGAGCATGAGGACGCGGATTTCGCGTACTTAATTGCGAGTAAAGCGATACTCGGTTAAGGATAGATTTAGTCAAGGAAACCAAAAAAAACTTAAACATGTATGTGCTAATAATGAGTACCTTAGTGTCTAGTCCGGGAGTCGCAAGGAGACGCGAGGACGAATGATATTGTCCCTCGGAAAAGTCGCACGACTCCCACGAACGTGGATTTTCTTTTTTTTAAAACATTACTTTATTTATTCAGAGCCACCGCCGATTCATGCGCGTCCTTTCTCGATAAAGGACGCGGAGTTTCGGCGTGGCGCCAGGATCTCGAACGTTAAAATAGTGCAAATTAAAGCGTCGACAGGCATTAAAACGTCGCCGCATAAACGTAAGCGCAAACTCGCTGATCAGAGGATGTTCGAATGACGATTGGTCTCCCCCTTCATCGCTCATAATTATATCGCAACACTATTATATGAATACAGTAAGCAATACAGCGCAACGCGTTTGTATATGCAGATATATATATACGAGGTGTTTCCCTCGATTGATTCGCGCAAGCGAACGGTAACTTTTATTCGTAATTTGAGATGTATATTTCGCGTGTTTGTTACGCGAGCACCGATAGAATATTAATAGATTGTTATTGGTAAAGAGTAAATTAATGGCGTACCACGTGAAAAATGAGACCATAGCTCGACAGCTGGAATTTCATTTTTTGCGGATACGTGAGAGATGAATCATATTTCGACGCATCCTCTCTGTATCAGCGAGACGTCCGTTTTTTTCGGGACGTTTCTTTCATAATACACATGCGAATATACATTTGCCATTATAATAATTATTCTCCTTCTCGCTATTATTGCCGTATTATTATGATTATACTTTATTCTTATTACTATTATTATTGCCATCGTCATCGTCTCATTATTATTATTATTATTAATTATCATTATTATTACTTATGATCGTGTATATTTTCTGTGTCTTTTGTCTAGTAGCTACGTGTAATCTTTAACACCTCATTACTTACTCTCGTATAATAATACTAGAGAAAGATATAAAGAAGTACTTTACTCACTCTTCACTTGCTCACTTAACATTGCTCTACTATCGCCACTTTCTGCCAATCGCTCTGTAACTATTACGTTGCTACTACCGCTACTGCTGTGTTGCCACCACTACTTACTACTACTACTACTACTACTACTACTACTACTACTACTACTACTTACTACCGACTATTTATTTATTTATTTAATTATTAAATAACATAACAACTTATTATGTTTTATTTAAGGATTAAACTGATTTGTGTTTGGTTCAAATGTCGTTTGTTTTATTTCTATTAAAAATGTTTCAGTTGCCATTCACCCGGCATCCCGACCTTCTCCACGATTATCGCCGATTCGTCCTTCCTCTCGACCCATCCTTCCTTCATCGACATTCCACGATCTCTTCCTGACATTCCACGAGTTACAGACTGATGTAATAGCGATGTAAAAAAAACATAACGGCGAGCCGCTCGACCTCGATGCACGAGACTCCGCTCATGGATCCTGGTTCGTAGCGTCTTTATTACTTATAAATTATTTATATTTATTAATATAGTCTCATGAACGCCGCCATAAGTAAGATGAATGCGACCGAATTGCTCGTTTTAATTATTAAAAATCTTTGGAGGTGATATTTCGATCGAAAGATGCTACTGCGCATCATCTCTTGGTGTGAGATGAGAGAATTTTGAAAATATTTTCAATATATTGGCGGCGTTCACGACAGCGTGTTGAATGGTCTAGAATTTTAGAAATTATTATGCGTAATGGTGCAGCCACAATAGAAGGAATAAGGAATAATGATTTCAACCTTTCAGAAACCGTGTATTCCGGTGTATCCGATTTTTGATAAGTTGAAATCTTTATTCCTAATTTCTTCCATTGTGGCTGTATCCTAATTCAAGTTTTAAGCTAGTCTTATTAATATTCCATTTATTACTCCCGGAATTTTACATGTATGTACATTCCAAAGAGAGTTACGATCGAAACGATTGCATTGTAGAGGAATGACTCGATTCGAAGTGAAGAAAAGAAAATCGAATCGTTTAGTGATCTCGATATTATAAAAATAAATATATGAATTTTGTTTATACTGACAGTGTACACGCGAAATGGATTCTTCGCAAGGACGATATTGGGAGCTTTCCAACAAACGACACTGTGCGACACGATGATCATCCCATCTCTGTTTAACATTGACGAACAAGGATGCAACGATTCACCGTGCCACACCGTGTCATCTGTGTCTTTTATTGGAAAACTTCCATTTGTAGTCTCTCGAAATAAATTCCGCGAATCAACGTCGATTCAACGTCGACGTCCGGATACGACCATCGAATTATTCCTGCCGTTTCAAAGGACTTAAAATCATCTAACGATCCACGAATACTTGTTCGAGCGATTCACGTTGGACAAAAAGGAGTCAAATTTTCGGGAGTCCAGCAGAATGTCGAATAGTGTTACTTGCGTATCCTCCGCAATGA